ATCTCAGAGGCTCGGGAGGCAGAGGCAGGAGAATCTTAAGTTCAAAGCCAGTCTCAGCAATGGTGAGACGCTACGCAACTCAGGAAGACACCGTGTCTAAATAAAATACAAAATAGGGCTGGAATGTGGCCCAGTAGGATGTGGTCCCTGAGTTCAATCACCCATACCCCCCAAAATTGTATCATACTAAGTATGTATAGACTTTTAAAAAAAATATTTATTATTTTTTAGTTATAGGTGGACACAATATCTTTATTTTATTCTTTATGTGGTGCTAAGGCTCGAACCCAGTGCCTCATTGCATGCTAGTGCTCTACCTCTGAGCCCCAACTTTATTTTTGTCATGGTTCTCTAAAAACTCAGTATAACTATTTTCATATCATTTACATTGTATTCAGTATTATAAGTCATGTAGAGCTGTTTTTAAATTATATGAGAGACTATGTAGGTTCTATGCAAATTATGCTATTTCCTATAAAGAACTTGAGTGTCTTCAGATTTTGGGATCCATAGGGAGTCCTGGAACCAATCCCCTGAGAATACCAAGGGTTGGCTGTGTATGCATGGTTTTTTGATTGCTGGAATGAGCACAAACATTTGGGAAGGACATGCAAGAAACTTCAGATGTCTGTAGGATATGACCTGGGAAGTAGAGAATAGGAGAGAGATGCCGCAGTCTGGCTGGGCACAATTCAGGAGCCACTTGTCAAAAGAAAGGAACTTGGGCTGGGGATGTGGCTCAAGCGGTAGAGCACTCACCTGGCATGCGTGCGGCCCAGGTTCAATCCTCAGCACCACATACAAACAAAGATGTTGTGTCTGCCGAAAACTAAAAAAAAAGATAAATAAATATTAAAAAATTCTCTCTCTCTCTAAAAAAAATAATAAAATAAAATAAAATAAAATATTTAAAAAATTTAAAAAAAAAAAGAAACGAACTTTATTTTTAGAACCACACATGCCAAACAAAACAGCTCCTCAGGAAAACCTTCAGAGCCCAACTGCCACCACTGGCTCCCCACAAGTCTCTCCACCTCCCTCACTCCTCCTGCTCTTGAGGCCGATTGGCTGGGTTGTATGGCGGAGCCAAAAAAGTCCCCCAATGAGCAGCTCCGTAGTCTGAAAGGGCAGGGAAACAGCCCAATGAGCATCACCGCAGAGGAGCCAATCAGCTAGAAGTTGCTGGGGCGCTGTGAACCAATCATCAGCTGGCAGTCTGAAAGTTTGCTGAGGCCCCTTGGGCTGTGGCTCTCAACAGAGGTATTTCTGAATATCTGGTTTGGGGAAGGTTTCTATTCAGGATGCCATTTCTTAGAGGAGTCTTGAGACCTGTGCCTTAACATCATAGAAACCCCTGCAGAAGGAAGGTTCCCTGTGCCCATTCATTCCATCAAAATCCCTGGGACTGGGGTTGGGGTTGTGGCTCAGCAGTAGAGTGCTCACCTAGCATCTGCAGGGCAATGGGTTTGATCCTCAGCACCACATAACATTAAAATAAAGGTATTATGTCCAACTACAATTAAAACAAAATATTAAAAAACAAAATCCCCCGGGGGGCTGGAGTTCTAGCTCAGTGGTAGAGTGCTTGCCTCATATGTGTAAGGCACTGGGTTGGATTCCTAGCACCACATATAAATAAGCAAATAAAATAAAAAGTTAATAAACAACTAAAAAAATATTTTAAAAAAATTCCCCGGGGGCTGGGGATATGGCTCAAGCAGTAGCGTACTCGCCTGCGTGCGGCCTGGGTTCAATCCTCAGCACCACATACAAACAAAGATGTTGTGTCCACCGGAAAACTAAAAAATAAATTTAAAAAATTAAAAAAAAAAAATTCCCCGGGACTAAGTTTTTGCTTGCACAGGTCCATTCCCCCACTCCTAGACCAATCAGGGTTGCCCAAATGATGAGTCATACCATTCATAGGCCAAGCCCAAAGGAAATGAAGTCAGCCACTTGTAACTTTCTTGGAAAGAGAAGGAAATTTACATACTCAAGGGAAAACGAGGAAGCTCCAACGCGTGAATGGGAGAAGGGACACCAATAGTAATGAGGCATAAAAGCAGACCAAACCCATGCAATCATCTTTGGAAATGTGTCCCTTACCATTACCCAACTGTAGGAAGCTAAGACCCAGCTGGAACCCCTAGCCACCTAATCAAGTTGCTGGACCCTTACTTAAGGCTAGTGGTTGGGGTGGGACTGGGGCTCAGTGGTAGAGTGCTTGCCTAGCAGGTGTGAGGCTCTGGGTTTGATCCTCAGCACCCCTTAAACAAATAAAATAAACATATTGTGTCCATCTACAACTAAAACTATATATATATATATTCATTCTAAGATGAGGGGTCTGCTTCTCTGGAAGGTCTGAAGGATGTGTTAGATGGACCACCCCAATTTTACAACCACATCAGGATTCTTACACTTTTGTTTTACTTCTGGCTTTGCCTTTGCCCTAGAAATTTTCCAGGCTTCTCTGAGCCCTTCCCTGCCCCCTACTCCCATGCCTGGGAAACTTTGCAACTTTATTGCCTTCCTGGGACAGGAACTTAAATCAGCTTCAACATTCAATGCCCTGGGTATTATCAAAGACCATCAGGGCAGTTAAGAAGCAGCAGCCCTGTGTAGGGTGGCTCGAGGAAGAGGAAGAGCATGTGGACAGGGAAGGGAAGGGAGAGATGTCTTCTGCCGCATGGATCAAACCCAGTGCCTGAACCCAGTGCCAGAGCTGAAAACCAAGCCTCTCCAGCCTGGAAACATTTTGATGATCAAAGAGCATTTCTGAAGCAATTACTCACCAGCTGCTTCATTTTCTCATTCATCAAAAGAAACAGATTTATTGAACCCCTGCTGTATGCTTTGCACTGGAGGGATTTTAGAACAACCCTGGTATAGAGAAGGAAACAGGCTCCGAGGGGTTTTGTCACTTGGTCACACAGTGAACAAGAAGATGATGTGGGATTCGACCACAAGTCCACCTGGCTCCAAAACTCAGAGATGGGTTTCCTAGAGATGGAAGTGACAGTAAGAAGCCCTCCAGGTGGGATGCCAGGGTCATTCCAGGCAGGCTCAGAGCTGGAGTATCCCACAATGGGGTGGCCTTGTCCATGGATCGTCTCCAGGACCTGGCTCTCAGCACTGGGGAGTCTGGCTGATCTCTTAGCACAAATCACCCCTTAGAACCTGGTGGATTTTGAGGTTTAAGAAACATTCCACCCTCCTGGATCTCTAAGGAGGGAAATGTGGGCAGGGGTCAGGAAGGAGTGCAAACTGGGTGAGAATGGTGATGGAGTCTCAGAACAAAAGGGTAGCTCAGTGCTTGCACAGCTCAAAGGGCCAGGGCATTCCACAGCCTCAGTTTCCTCCTCTGTACGGCGGAAATCAAAAGCCCGGTGTTGCAAGGGTGTCTCATGCACAGCTGCTGCCTGGCATATAGTTAGCGTGGGAACGGAGGGTGAACAGCAATTCCAGAAGTTCAGCCCTCTCTGGGCCTGGGCCTATCTGGTGAAGGGACAATCATGGGGCCCCTGTTGGAACATGGGAGGAGCCTCAGTGGGAGGAACCCAAGGCATCCCATCCAAGGTGAGAAGTTCCTGAGAGGTGGGAGGTCAGTTGTCATAGAGACCACATTGACAGTCTCTAGGGTGACAGCTTGGTGGGGCAGGACCCTGTTGTGGAGGGAAAGCCTAGGGGGACAGGTGTTCTGTTACCTCAGAGTTTGGTCTCCATGACAACAGCTGTGAGGTCCAAGCTGCCTTGGAGTGGAGCTCAGAAGGCCCTAAGGAGCAGGGTGCAGCCTGGGAAAGGGGCAGCCTGTTTCTATGGTGAGAGCTAGAGAACCAAATTTGCGACAGCCCAGGGACAATTAGGGGGAGGTGGTCTCCATGGTGGTTGGTCAGGGTGAGTACAGTCTGAAGTAGAATTGTAGGTCTCTGGGGTGCAGGCCAGTGAGATGAGAAATGTGTTGTATCCATGGTTACAGCTGGAGGAGGGAGGCACCATCCCCATAGGTGTAAGTGACTGAGGTGTGACTTTAGATGACAGTTATAAGTTGGACTGATGGATCTGCTTGGTGACAGTGGGAACTTAGACAGTTGGTTTCCATAAAAAATGACAAGAATCTTTGGTGACAGCCCATTAGGGGTCTGGGGTGGGTTGTGAGATGGGTTTGGTCTCCCTCCAGAGAAATATCTGAGGGATGGGGCATGGCCACCACTCAGGATATATTGACAGTCATAGTGATGACAGATGAGAGTGTTCTCGCATGACACTGGAGAGGTGGGACTGTCCTCCACAGTAACCTAGGAACATGGCCTGTTTACCCTAGAAACTTTAGGGGGTTCTCAGGGGACAAGGAGAGAATGGAAATATCCAATCTCAGAGTCACAGTCAGGGAGAGGAAATGCCTGAGCCCATAGTGCCCATGTGTCCACTGGAGCATGGTCACCTGGGGAACCCTGAGGTTTCTGTTTTCTCTCCAGGTGAGGGAGGGGGGATCTGGTATACAGATGACCTCAAAGGACCAGTTTTCAGTCTCCAGGGAAATGGTGAGAATGTGTGGCCAGTCTTCAGATAATCCCGGGGGTCCAGCCTCCAGGCAACCAAGGGGGCCATCCGTTTGTTTCCAGGAGGCCAAAGAGGGATGGCCAGTCTCCAGGAAACCGTGGGTTCTGTTGGCTTCCCAGTTTCCTCAGGGAGTGTGGCACTTCTCCTGATGTAAGTTGGGGAAAGGGAAAATCCACTGTCCAGGAAAGCAGTGTTTGGCTAATCTCCGAAGGACTGGCCAGTCTCAAGGGGCCCGAGGGGCGTGGTTAGTTTCCGAAGAGACCACAGGGAATGTGGCCAGTCTCCAGGAGACCTCAAGGGGTGTGGTTAATGTCCAAGGACCGGAAGAGGCCTGGTCAGACTGCAGGGAACTGCAGGGCTGTGTCCACTGTCCAGGGAACCTCAAGGGGGTGTGGTCCATCTCAGGGACCTCAAGGGGGAAAACCCATCTTCAGGGACTTCAGGGGCGTCTCCAGTGTCCGGGGGACATCAGGGCACTCGGCCATTCGTCAAGTCCCCCCAGTCGTCCCTCTCCTGGGTCCTAGACGCGCAGCGGGGTCCAGGCAGCTGGGTCGCGTGCGCCTCCAGCCCAGCCACCGCCGCCGGCCCAGCCCCAGCCCCAGCCCCCGGGAGCGGGATCCGGTGCGCCTGGTGCGCGGTAGCAGTAAACGCCAAAGAGCCGTCGGGAGGCATCTGGGAAGCCTAGGCTGCGCACGCCAGGTCGGAGACCTCCGCAGCGCGCACGCGGGTTCACGATGGGGTAGCGCGCGCTGCCGTCGGCCAGCCAGCCCGCGGTGCAGCGGTCCAGCAATTGCAGCTTCCACGCAGCGAACAGCTGGCCCACCTTGGCCACTGATGCACCGCGCGCCGCACATGCACGCGCTGCTCCGGCGAAAGGCACAGGCCGCAACGGCTTCAGGAAGAACACGCGTCCTGTGGGGGTAACATAGGAGGTGCAATGTTAGGACCGTTCCAGGGTCTTTGCCTGGGGTTCAGGATCCCACCCTCCTGCAGCTGAGGGACTCCAGGGACATTCCCTGTATCCAGGGACCCCAGCCTCCGCCTGGGCAATGCTGGTGCCAGGTGGCCTTTGACTGTCGCGGGACAGGGGTACTCTAGTTGCCACAGCGGAGGGCTGGATAGTGACGAGATTGCTTGGGGCGGAGCCTACGCACCCGGGAGGTTGGACGTGAAGCAGAAGGCGTCATAGCGTTCCTCAGCGTTATGCCGATAACCGTAGTTGCGCACGCCGCCGCCGTTGGCTCCGCCACCCGCCCCGGCGTTCCCGGCCCCGTTCAGGCCGCCGCAGGGTTCCCGAGGCTGGCTCACCGGGTACTGCACGGAGCCGTCGCGCAACCAGCCTGCGTTGCACCAGTCCAGGCCATCGCGCCAGGCCGCGTGCAGCTGCTCGGCAGACGCCAGGATACCGTCCTGCTCGGCACACGCGCGCTGTGCCTCCGCGAAAGTCAGCTTGTAGCGGCCTCCACGGGGGTGATAGGGGAAGACCACGCCTAGGGGAGGGCACAGGGATTCAGGTAGGGTCCCCTGGCAGGCCCCATCCACCTGACATCTCAGATGCCCTGTGACCGACTATTTTACCCGAACCTTCAAGTTCATTCCTCTCTAGCCTCAGATCGGATCCCACCACACCTTTCCCCAGCTCACATCCATTATGGCTCTTTTAACCTTAAATTTTGGATTTATTTGACCCTCCCCCGAACGTACTTAATTGTGTCTGTCCCACTCCCACCCCTGGAGACCGTTTCTCATGATTTTAACGCCCTTTTCCACCTGTCAAACTCATAGTCTTCGGTCAAAAGCCAACTCCCAAACCCTCCTCTATTGGGTCTTATATGTCTCTGACATCCCACAGGCACTGAGTCCTTCCCACTGGTCTAGTCCCAAGCCCACAGATCTAGGAATGTCTGTATCCACTGCAGGATTCCCTAAGACTGGGAGCGCCTGGAAGGTTGACCCAGGGTGAAACCCCCCATTTGATTCACCAGCATTGTCCAAGACAGTACCCATTAATTTCCCTTCCCCCTTCAGTTCTTATGAACCGGTTCCTCATTGGACTCACAATCAATGCAGCTCAAAAGTGCTTTGTGTTTGCTCGGGTCTTGGTTGAGTTGAATACTTTAAGCAAACCCAGAGGGCAGACGGGGGCCAGAGAGAAGATCTGGAGCCTGACAAGAGATTGAATCTGGACTCAGCCGCTCATAAGCCTGTGCCCTGGGCAAGGCTCTATCTAACCTCGCTGAGCCGATGGCCCATCTGCTGGTAATAGCTGTCACCCTTGGGGTTTGGGGAAAATTAAATGAGAGACTCCAGAGAGCTCTTCAACTAAATGGCTGGCACATAGAATGCCTAATAAAGGAGAGCTGCTGCTACTGTTGGGATTTGTTATTGTTAGAAAGTTCTGCAAGTGCGGGGTCCCTGAAATCTCTCCTAGAATCTAGTGGTCTGAATCAGGCAAACAGGTGTGTGTGGGGGGAATTCTTCAGATATAAACTCTATCTCTCAGCTCCATGGTCAGCCAATCAGAGCGGCCCATCTCTTAGACACAGAGATTGGCTCACAGATAGGCACATGATTCAAGGTGGTCCAATGAGAAACAACTCTGAGACTCTAGCTGAGTCTTCCAGGAAATCCCTTGCTAAGCAGTGAGGGTAGAAGCCTGGCATTAGGATTGGGGTTCCTTTGGGTTTCATAACAGGAAAACTACCCAGCAAAGCCCATGCAGGAAGCAGAGATGAGAGATGAATTTCTGACTTAGTACCAATACTTGGATCTCACTGTACCTGAACCTTAACTATCCCAGGATTCTCAGTGTCCTCCCTATTGACACTTTTTAACTGAATTATTCTTTCTGGGGGAACTCGTGTCAGGTAGCATCCCTGGCTTCTCCCCACTAGCTGTCAGTATCACTCCCATTCCAAGTATAGCAACCTAAAATGTCTCAAATCCCCCTCATCAGAACCATTGCTCTAACCCAACAAAATCTGTAAATTTCTTCAAGTTAACTTGATTTGAATTCTGTCCCTTGCAATCTCCCATTCTCTCCTCCCTTAGTAGTAAGCTCCATCCTGTCCATGTGCTGGTCACCTTCCAGGTCCAGCTTGACCATGCCAGCGTCGTCTTCCAGCTCATTGGTGACCTCGCACTCGTAGCGCCCATAGTCCTGCAGGGTGACATTTCGGAGGACCAGGGAGGCATCCCCCGGCCCGTCGTTCTGCAGCTCTGCCCGCCCGCGGTAGCTGCCAAAGGCCCGGTGCTGAGGACCCAGTGCCACGAAGACGTCGGCGAAGGCCAAAGGATCCACTACCTTTGTCCACTTGAGGCGGACGCCATCGTGGCCTTGAGCAGCTGCCTCGTAGTGATAGCGGCAGGGCAAGACGATGGTGCCACCCCGGTGGCTTACCACTTGCCCAGGTGCCGTCTGCACCACCACTGAGCCCGACTCACCCTCTGTAGGGCAACCAAGCAAGATTCAGAGAGGAGGGGTCTAGGAGCGGGGCGGGGGGTGTAGGAAGAAGACTTGGGTGAGCGTCAGGGGATCAGAAAGGTAAAGGGGCTCAGGGAGGGGGCAGGGGCTCAGGAGGGGGGACAGGGGTAACGTGGCTGTCAGCAACGCGCTACCCTGCGGCCGCGTCTGCGCAGCCGGGTGATCACTCTTGGCCACAGCTCCTCAGGGGCAAGACCCGCTTCCGCGGCCCGGACTCACCCAGCACGTGCACGACCTTCTTCCGGCCGCGCTGCGCCTCCACCGAGGCGGTTAGCAGCAGTATCCCCCAAACCGCGGCCGGGAGCACGCCCCGCCCAAGGGCCGCCGGAGCGCACACCTGGGGACACAAGGTGCTCAAGCCAGCTTCGAGCAGCCTTTGCCTTTTAGAGGACTGTCTGCCATCCCTGCGAGGACTTCTCAAATGCCCAGGCCCCTACTCCGGCCAGGGTCCTAGAGGACTCCCCCAAGGGGAATGTTGGGAGGCCCCCTCCCCTGCACCCTGGCTCCTGAGCTAAGCCAGGTCCAAGTCCCTGGACTCATTCTCCCTTAGACCTGCCCCAGCACCCCGGCCTGACCCCCTACCCCAACTCAGGTGGCTCGGAGCCCCGCCTCCTCCTCTCTGGGGCCGGGCTCTGGAGTGGGGAGGGGAGGAGCTGGAGCCGCGGTAGCAAGGTTATCCGTGCGCCAGGAGACTGCAGCAAACCGGGCCGGGACCGGAGCGCGGGGGGTGGGGTGGCTGGAGACACAGGGAACGACACGGGGCTGGGGGCTGGGGAGAACAGGGACAGAAAGAACCGAGAGAGAGACGGAGGCAGATATGGAGGAAGAAAGAGAAGAGACCACGAGAGGCGCAGAGACAGAGATGAGGAACGAGAGACACGGGTGGGGGAGAGACAGAAAAAGAGACAGGGAGAACATCACCACCCACCCCGGAAAAAGGGGAGAGAAAGGTAGAAGGAGGCACAGAGGGGAGCAGAAAAAGGGACAGATACAAGAGGGTGAAAGAGAACAGAGAGACTGGGAAGAGAAATACTGAAGGGACAGAATCGGACACAGAAGCCCAGAAACCGGGGGATCGGGGACACACTACCAGCCTGGGACCTGCTCCGGTGGCCGCACTCACCATCCTGCCCGCGCGGCCCCAGCCGAGCGGCCCCTGCGCGTCCGGACTGCGCGCTCCCCGCACACCAGGGAAGGACTGGGCAGGTCCCGCAGGGCGGCGCAATCCCGGAGTCTGCCTGCAAGGGGAGGAGGGAGGCCGGCGGGGGGGGGGTTGTTAAAGGCGACGCAGCTGCGCGGCTTGGTGGAAAAGTGGGCCTGGGCACTGGCTGAGGAAGGACTGGCTCTTCGTAATGAGTGCGTAGCCACGTCCCTGCCCCGTCCCTCAAACTCTTGAGCTTCTTTCTGTTTAATCATCTTTAAAATGGAATGGGACCCCAAGGAAGTCCGGGATCCATGCCTTGGCAAGAGTTGGTGAGTGACTTGGTTAAGGGGCTTGATCTACAGGCCTCAGTTTGCCTATCTGCCCTTTAGGTGATCACCCTGGAGTGGTGAAGGCCCCACAATAATCACACACTAGAAGAGGGACCTTGAGCGACAGGTTCAAGTCCAACTCTGCTCCTCACTGTGGGACCATGGAGGAGACCTTGGCCTCTCTGAGCTGTTTCCATCTCTGGGAAATGGCAATTTAGTTCTTTAAAGATCCAATAGCTCTACACACGTGCGCGACACACACACACACACACACACACACACACACACACACTGTACCTGGTAGTACAGGTAGGGGGCAAGGAGCAAGGGACTCTGATCAAGTCCCTGATTCCCTTGAGTTTAAGTCAGAGGCCTAAGCCTGGCCCTTAACCCAATTTAAAAAATGACAACCAAGAAATGGTAAGTCCTCCCTGCAACCTCTTGGCTGCCTCTCTGATCTATTTCCCCTAAAATGAGACCAAACCTACTATATAGAGGCAATTATAGATTCTGTGGTCTCACCTGGTGGGGCTCAGTCCCCAGCTCAGCTGTGCCCAAGACATATGACCTAGGACAAGGACCTTCACTTCCTACAGCCTCTGTTTCCCCATCTGGAATATGGGTGAAATCCAGCATGTAATACTTGATATGTATACAGTTGGTACTTATTAATGGTGCCATATTATAACTCATATTGTAATTTATTGGCAGAGCAGTGAATTTTTCTCCTGATCATGACATCAGGAAGGTCTCTTATCCATTGTGAGCCTCAGTTTTCCCCATCTGGAAGTTGGAGCTGTGCACCAACCAGAGGCAGACTTCTGTTATCCTGCTGCCTTAGGTTTTGGACAGCCACAATGGCAGTGAGGATTGAGTTCCCTGTGGGATCCAAGAAAAGGGTTCCTTGCCCTGGCACCCTGAAACACTCAGACAGTGATGTTTTAGACACCAAAAGAGTTTTTATTAAAAGGACTCATCGGGTGGGGTGATGGGTAAATTCTGGGACAGCAGAAGGCTCCTCTGGGAGAACAGTGATTGGTGGTTGAGTGAGGCTCTCTTTGTAAGAACACCTGGCTGTTAGTCTCCCATCCCACCCCCTGGCCTGAAACCACCATAGCTAGTTCTGAAGATCCCCAGAGGTGTGTCTCCTGCTGGTAAAAACCGGTAACCCACCCTTCCCAGGGCAGGGCTGGCTGTGCATGTAAACAGAGTCTCGGGGAGCCCTGCAGCCCTCTCATTGCTGCTTCTTGTCAGCCAGGGCATCTGGGGGTGGTGGGTGCAAGAAGAAGGCTGGCCAGCGCAGGCAGCGGTAGGCCAGCAGGTGAGGGCCCAGAGCATACAGTAGATTGCACAGGAAGACGCAGGTCCAGGCATCCTCTGGCACACGGTAGGTGAAGGGTGTGCGCAGGTGCATGGAAGCGCCCATGTGTGAGAACTGTGCCTGGTGACCAGACAGGAAGGATGGATGTCAGGGACCAGAAGAGGACAGAAGTCCCAGCATGCTGGGGTCTTACAGAAGATAGTCAGGCAGAGCCCAGAGGGTCCCTGTCCTCATGTTGTTGACAGTTGATCCAGTCCAGCTCCTCCTCCTAGTCTTCCCTACCCTTGACAGCTGCTTTTGACCCAAATCTTGTTAATTCTACCCCCTTGGAAATCTTCTTGGGTCTTCCTGCCCTGGCCTGGGGCCAGGTATTTCTTTTCAGAACTAGGGCCCCATTCTGATTAGGCCCTCCATTGCTCAGACACCTCCCATGGCTCCCAGTCATCCTCAGCACCAGTTCCCAAAGCCAGAGTTCAGTCTTCAGCATCTGTCTGCCAGTTTCTCTTGCTTCTGCCTTTACCTACATGATGGCCCTGCTAAATTATTGTCCTCCTCTGTACCCGTCCTTATGTTGCGCCCATTCCTGAAATGCACTTCCCTTCCTGGAAACCCATTCCCTTTCATCAAAGCCCAGCTCCTGTGCTTTCCTTCCAATCCCTCTCAGTCCCTGTCCTTCCTCCTCTCTAGCTCTGACCCCAGGGGGCAGGGAGTATCTGTGTTTTGGCTCTTTCTCCCCCAGACTAGTGAATTCCTAGGTACTGGGCCGGGGACCTCTTGGTGCCCATAATCATGTTGCCCAGGTTGAGCACAGAAGCAGCTGAGGGGTAAGCAGAAACCGCCTTCCCTGCATGCCTGTCCACCTGCCCCCACCCATCACCCACCTCCCCCTCACCTGGCCAATGGCTCCAGCAAACACCAAGGCCCAGTCAGGCAGCCAGGAGCAACCGGGGAAGGTGAGGGCATAGGTGGCCAGGCCGTAGAAGGGCAGAACGTAGAACATATACATCAGCATCTGGGGGTAACAGGGCACAGCCTATGAGATAAGCTTGGTCTCCTGAGACCCCAGACACGGGGCATCTGAAGAGAGGTCTGGACAGCCTCAGATCCCACCCAGGATGGGGCTCCCTGTACCCCCCCCACTCCTGTGCAAAGTGATCCTCTTTCCCCCACCACCTATGTATACCCAGCTTACTCCTCTATCTCCAAAAGTGGCATGTGATCCTGGCCAATCCTAACACTCCAGTCAAATGGTTATAATGATTCATAAGGGGTGGGCATATCACAGCCTGCCTGAGACATGCACTTAAGTTTTGGGGTAATAATGGATCATATTCCTCTGGGGTGGCTGATTAGGGTGGATGGAAGCCTAGAGCTGCCTGTGCCACCCCACAGAGAGCCATGCCAGGGAAGCAGAGCCTGGAGACAGATATCCTTGAGTTCCTGGATCCAGCCATACCTGAAAACCATATCTGTTACTTTTTTGATAAGACAACACATCCCATATGTGTTTCTGTCAATTTAACTTGTGCTTCTGGCTCTGGCTTCCAAGAGATTCAGGCAGGATAATGGCCCTCTCCTCCCACCTGCCCTCTCACCTGCACCTTTGGATAGGCCACAGGATCCCGCAGGTATGGCTCATACTGGTAGATGTAAACAAAGCAGGCATCCGTGGGGCAGTCAAGCACAACCTAGGGCAGACAGAGGAACCATCCACTGACTTCAAGCGTCCCTCAAGCGGGAAGCCTCCCACACCAACAACGCTCAAGCAGGGTCCATATCCCTAGCTCTGGCTCTCTCCCAGAGGAAAGAGGAGTGAACACTCAGGTCAGACTTGAAGAAGAACTTCCTTGGATAATTGGACAGAATAGCAATAGTTTTTCTGCACCAGTAAAGGAACACATATGAAAGAGGTGAACCAGGAAGGGAGGCCAGAGGCAGGAAATGGGGAGGCTGGCCAGGGCAAACTCACCAAGCCCCGGAAAAGGGTGAAAAATGCAGCAAGGAAGAGGTATATGACGAGGGCCAGGTCAGCAGGGCGCTGCAGAAGGCCCTTTCTTTGCTCTTCCTGCACCTGCCCCAGGGGAGAGAATTGGAGACAGCATGAAAGAAGGTGATCCTTTCAAGGAGACACAGTCTTTGATTAAAAGGAATTCACATGTGGAGACCTTCAGGCAGGCTGGGACAAGGCCTGCCTGGGAGCGAGGCGCTCACCATGTTGGGCGTACAGCAGGTTGGTGCCCGAGACTGGCTGAAGACCCTCCTCCCAGCCCAGCACGGCACCAGCAGGTAGAGGATGGCAAGGAAGAAGGCAGGTCTAAGCTCTGAGCTGTATTTGCCTGCCATGGCGGAGGAGAGAGGAAGCCAGTCAGCAAGGGTCTCCCAGACCTGGCTGGGCCCATTAGTTGAGCCATGCCAGAGCCCTGGATGGACTTCTGTGTGTGTGTGTGGGGGGGGTAACTGGGACTGAACTCAGGGCACTGGGCCACTGAGCCGCATACCAGCCCTGTTTTGTATTTGATTTAGAGACAGGGTCTCACTAAGTTGCTCAGTGCCTTGCTTTTGCTGAGGCTGGCTTTTAACTCATGATCCTCCTGTCTCAGCCTCCCGAGCCACTGGGATTACAGGCATGCACCACTGAACCCGGCTCTGGATGGACTTCTTGGTTCACAAATGCTAATCTCACTCAAGCTCCAACACCCTCCATGATTCCTTGCATCCATCAGATGATGTCCCCTTTCCTCAGCCTGGCCTGCCTCCGTTTACCCTCTGGATACAGATCCTACATCCCCACCATCCTTTCCTTCCCATGAATACACCTTGGGTGTTGTCCTTGCTGGATCTTTGTCAGGCCGTACCAACATCTGGACTATCATCCCTGCTCTTCATCTCTGCTCTACATCCCAAGATCTACTTACAAAGCTTTCACTCTGTCACTCTGTCACCCTAAAAATTTCCTTTCTGTGTCAAAGCATTCTGCCCAAACCCCCGGAGTCTGGAGGTCAGGGACCAGTAGCCTGGGGAGGAAGCAGAATTAATTTGGGCTCCAAGAGGAATCTGGTAGGCTGCTGGTTGAGGCTCTTCTACGGACAGGCATAAGGAAGGAAGGGGCCTCTGTGAACACTGGGAAGTGGTGGAGGATCCAACACAGGGGCTTCCAGGTGAAGGGCACTAACCCAGCCAAATTTTGTAATTCCCCCAAACTGAGTCCTTACCAAGAATGTTTCCTGGGAGGAACACCAGGATGCTCATGGCGAAGGAACCCAGCCAGTAGAGTCCAAGATTCCGGTATCTCTTTCTGGGAAGGAGTGGGAGTGAGTAGTGGGTACCTGGTCACTGGTTTCAGAGCCTCAGTCAGGGTCCAGAGACCATTCTGGGCTTCCCAACTCCAGGTCTCTCTGTTTTGCCCAGAATAGAAGGAACAACGGGGAGTTGAATAGGGGACTGAACTGTCAGCCACTCTGTCAAAGGGGCAAGGTGGATACAAGGCAAGAATCACCACCACCACTCACACCTGATGACATTCTCTGGAACCTTCTCTTCCCCATCCCTGGCTGCAGCCCTAGAGAGGCTTCTGATTCCCACTCCGGAGGAACTTCTGGTTCCACCCTGACTTGGGACCCTACCTGAGCACACAGTTTCTCTCTCAGGGCCCAGGAACCACCCAGCCTGCCCCCTGCACCTTTTATGGATGGCACCTGCCATGGCCAGGTAGAGGAGGTAGTGAACCGTGCCATCCCAGTAGCAGATGAAGATTCCATGCGATGTGCGCAGGTATGGCTCACCCTGTGGGGGCAGGTGAGAGGCTCAAACAAGAGGTGGGGCATGGGACACCCCTGGCCACCCTCCACGTACCTCCTTTGTATAGAACTCCATGAAGCCCACCACGTAGCCATCTTCCTGGAGAGCGATGATGAGATCCACCACGGAGGTGAAGGCAAAGATTGCAAAGACTGCGGGGAGAGTGAGTGGGCGGGGCCAGTGTGGGTGGGGATTTATAATGGGTGTGGCCAATGCCATGTGTGGGCGGGGCTAGGGCCAATAGGTTTGGGCTTGGGCTGGTTCAGGTCAGGAATAAAATAGGGGCTTGAAGTAGCAGGTCAGGAATGAGGTTCCAGTCAAGGGCTCCCGGCCCAGTTCCTGTTCCTAGACCACAGGTGCCGGACCACAAGCCTGCCTCATTCTGCATGTCAGACAGAGACACAGCCCCACCTTTGGGGGTCCCCAATTTTATGGGAGCTGCAGCATCCCTGCCCTCAGGAGATCTAGGAATGATGGGGAGGCACAGAACTTCAGGGGCTCCCAATCTGATGGGGGAGAGACAATCCCTTCTCTCAGGAGTTCCAAATCTGAAGGAGGAAGCTTTTTGAGGTTCACCAATCTAATGAAGGTTTCCTAGTGTCTTTGAGGTCACCAGTCTAATGGGAGCCCATCAAAGGCCTCCAGGGTGATGGAAGAGGTCCTTCAATGGCCCCAAGTCTGAGGATGGAGGCCCTGGTCCAGAGAGTTCTCTCCTTCACAATCACCCAGGGACTCACCAGCATAGAGTGGATCATAGGAGATCTCGCCACCAGACAAGACATAGATGGCCACAAAGAGCAGACCCAGGATCAAGGCGCTCATCAATGCCACCCACAGGGGGCTGAGGAGAGGGAAACCGAGTCAGGGAAGCCAGGCTCATTGCTGAGGCCTCACCCCACCCTCCCCAGTGGGGAAAAGGTAGACTCCAGGAAGCACCAGGTGATGAGACTGAAGCACCTGCATCAGCAGACTCTTGCTCTGGCTGTTCCCCCCTTATAGAAATTGCTTCCTGAAGAATCTTCTCTCTCTCTCTCTTCCCCTCCCTCCCTGATGTTGGCCTCAAACTTGGGACCTTCTTGCCTCAGTCTCCCGAGTAACTGAGATTACAGGCCTGTACCACCAAGTCTGGCCTGATGTCACTTTTCTGCTTGGCAAACTCCTTCTCATTCTTCACGGTCAGTCTAAATTGCTCCTTCTCCAGGAAGTCCTCCCTGACTCCCAAGAAAGGATCACTGTCCAACTTGAACTAGGAACAGAGGGGATATCCACCAATCCCTTTTGTCTGTACAATTTATTCCATCATTTGTGGATGTGTGTTCAATTCAACTTGTTCAGTCAATCATTCAGCAATGCCAAGCCTCTCTGTGGCCAGGCTCAGACCTCTGGCTGAAGACTCCAACCCCTCCCAGTTGAAGTCCAAATGTCTCCATTCATTCCACTCTATCCCTGCCCAAGGCGAGTGATAAGGCAGTGATAAGGCAGGTCTCTGGGCAAACCAAGGTCCAGAGATGGTGAGAGATCTGTCCAGGGTCACACAGCAAAACTCTGAACATCAATTCCCCACACCATCCAGGTCCCTATCTTCTTATGAACCCCTCTATCTCCTAGGATCTCCTGACCCTATCTATGTATCAACAATGACAACTATAGTAATTGGATGAGACCACAACAGGGTCTTTGCACACAACTTGCAATCTCTACCCACAACAATGGGGTGAGATCTAAGATTATGCCATCACAGAGATGAAAAAACTAAGTTTCGAAAGGCAAGTTGTTTCACCCAGGGTCCCAGGAGCTAGAGACAGATTACTTGTACCCAGGGAGTCAGACCCATCCTCAAGATTCTATCTATCCCACGGTTTGTGATGAACTGGGTTTGGGAGTGTGAAAGGCTTGCTGGACCCTCAGAGACAGAGTCTCTGCATGTCAGTCTAAGGTCAGGATTCGCAGGACATGAACAAAAAGAAAGTCTTTGGCCTGCTCTGAGGCATGGAGCAGGTGTGTGTGGCAGCAAGAGCTGGGTCATCAGCTTATCTGGTGCAATACTTTGACCCTTGGCGACTTTAGAACCTGTGCTAGGTGCATCCCTGGAAATACCCCCTTTCAAAACCCTGCCGTGTGTGGGGTTCGGATCTTTGGCATCCCTTCTCCTCAGACCCCAAACATCCCAGAGAGTCCCCACTCCAGCCTCCAGCAAGGAGGGAAGGGAACTTCCTGTTGGAGGGGGTAATTCTGGCCCAGCCCCCATCACTCCCGGTTCCGAGCTGCAACGGGGTGCGGGGCTGGGGGAGCCAAGCCCGCGGCCCGCGCATCCTCCCCCCCAGCCCCCTCCGGTCCTCCTCGCCCGCTTCCGCCCGGTGTTCCCCGGGAGGCACTCCCCGCACGCACTGCGAGAGCGCTGAGACGAGGTTGAGCACGTAGGACACCGGGAGGGCGCCGAGCGACAGAGCCGCAATCTTGCCGGCCAGCGGCGGGATGTCCATGGCGGCGGCGCCGGGACCCGGGTCGGTCCTGGCGTATCCTCCAGGGCGCTCGGCTCCTCAGTGACAGCGCGTCTAGGCCGGGGGTTGCCAGGGACCCGCCCCGCACAAAGGTCGCCCCCTGCGGCGTCCGGGGCAGGCAGCGCTTTCCCAGGGAGCCTCCGAGGCCCCGCCCCCTGCGGCTACCCCGCCCCTTTGCCCGTCTGTCTCTGAACCCCCCACCCCGGTCTGACCCTGGGCGGTCCCGGCTGTCCAGCCTTAGTTTCGCTTTTATCAAAGGCTGGAACACCGCACTTCAAGACATTTCTGCTCTGAGTTCAGGGACAGAGTCCTAGAGACCCCGGGGCGGCCACTTCGTTCTAAGGGAATTCATTCTCCAGGCGTCTACGTGTCCAGTTATGAAGTTTTGATTGGGGCCTGTCTGAATGCAGGCAAACATGAGTTGGGTCCTTCCAGTAGGGGAAAGAGGTGGGAGGCAAAGGATTTAAGAAGCAGATGCTGAAATCAGAAGGTCCAGGTGGGGCCAGTTCAGGGAAGTGTTCCTGGCAGGGAGAGTGAGGGTTCCAGCCTGGAGCTAATCATCTGGAAGGAAGCCAGAGAGGCTGAGGGAGGAAAGTGGGAAAGGTGGAGTGTGGGTTTCAGAGGCAGCTGTGAGGGAGGAAGCAGGGAGCTAACCGGCTGTGGAAACAGCTAGAGGGGGCTGGGCAAGGCCAGGGGGATATGAAATAGGGAGAACCAGAACATGGAGGGCCCATAGTTTGAGGTCAGGAAAATTAGGCAGTCTTGTGTTTCTGTAACTCCCTCCAACTGGTCTGAGGTTCTTGCCCATGTGGAGTACTTGTGGCTATTGGAAATAACATGGAGAGATGTGTCTGCCTGAGTCTTGCCTCCAAGAAGCCCACAGCCCCTCCCCTGGACAGCCAGGCCCCTTCTCCATGCTGCCCACTGGCCTTGTGCCAACCAGAGCCAAGGTGTCTAAGCAAGGCTACCAGTCTGATTCAGCGTCCCTCCCCAGGTACCCATTGTGCATGGGGTGAAGTTCAGCTTTCCCAGGGCTACTTTCCCAATTCTAGCAGTGCAGACACTCCACAGGCCTGTCTGCTGTCTGCCAGATGGACCTTAAGTTCTCACCTCCCTCTCCAGGCTGAGGATCTAACCCAGAGCCTTGGGCACACTGAGCAAGTGCTCTGCCATTGAGCCTAAGCCCATGTTCTTACCTCTTAAGGCAGGTGCCAGTAACTCCTACTCAAGGCTGCCCTTCACCCTACCCTACTTCTCCCTTTGCAGAGCCAGGAGTGTCTGTGCCCAGTTGTCTCAGAGACTGACCTTGCACCCTATGTACCTGCACACGAGAACAGCGTTTGGAGGCCTCTCTCCTTTCTTGCCTGAGGGTAAAGTCCATGCCCTCACCTGGCAAACCTCCAGGTTACTGAACTCAATGGAGAGGTGACTTGGGTGACGGGGTGTGTAGAACTAAGCCCCAAGGTCCTGTCTTCTGGATTTTTGGCTGCGGAGAGGTACACCTGTGCTTGGGGCTCTGGCCAGCTGCCTTCTGGGCAGACCCCATAAACAAACACCTGGGTTACGCCCACCAGTGTCACACCCAACTCAAAGATGGGAAACAGGATGGCGTTTCACAGCAGCCTAAGCTCTGCTATTGCCTCTGAGACTTTGTCAGTCCCTCGGCCTACTGAAGTACACTCCACAGCAGCCCCTGGCTCCTCTTGGTATCCATTTTTCCCTTTTTGTGGTGCCGGGGATGGAATCCAGCGTCTTACATATGCTAGGCAAAGGCTGTCATTCAGCCACACCCCCAGCCGTTATTAGCTTTTGCAGCCCTCAATAAGCAGCTATAACTGACATCACCTTACCCCAATAGACCAGCTGCCTGGGGGCAGCTCTCCATCTGGTTCTCAATTAGTGCTCAGTATTTGCTGAATGACTGGCCACAGCTGACCCAGGAGCCCAACTCCAGCTTGAGTTCATCGAGCCTGAGAAGAGGAATCCCTCTACCCTACAGGTGTTGGGTCACCACCAGGTAGCTGGATGTGTGAGGGAAGATGGGAGAGATCCCCAGGCTATGGCCTACCACATGTGGTCTGCAGACTTGTAGAACTGGTAAGAATGCAGATTCCTGGGTCCCCCATGCAACCTGGGACTCAGCAGCTGCAGCCAAAGATCCCTAAGTGGTTTCTGCATGACATGAGATGCCAGCTCTGGCAGACACAGCTGGGGATGTCTTGGCACACACTTTGGCCTGGGCTACCCTCCTGCCTTAAAACTTCCTGCTCCAAAGCCCCATCCTGTGACTGATGTTATAGCATGTGTCCAACCACCAGCGGTCTCCAAATGAACTAGGGTCAGGGACTTGTATGACCATCACACTAGTGGAACCAGTAGTTGGAACAGCCAGGGTTGCAGCTTATCACCAGTAGTGATTTGCTGTGTGTGCTGGGCCCTGCCAGCAAGCAAAGGCTAGGCAGGTCCTGCCTAAAGACCCTGTCCTCCTCTAACTTGCTAAAACAGTGCTAGGCTGAAAGGTCCCAAATACACACCCTTGGGCCTAGGCGTGGCCAGGTGTCAACCAAGTGCCCCTCCCTGCAGTCTGCTGCAGAAGAGCAGCCTTCTCTGTCTCCTTACAGTGAGAGCTAAGGGTCCTCCCCTCAGTTGCAACCCAAGCTTAGGGGGAACAGACCACAGGGACAGATAAGGGATTAGGTGGTACTCTGAGATTCCTCAGATACAGGGGGGCTTTTGAGAAATTGTCTTGCCAGATTACAAGTTTGAGGCCAGCCTCAACAACTTAGTGAGACCCTTGACAACTTAAACCATGTCTCAATACAAAATACAAGGAAAAAAAAAAAAAGTCTAGAGAGGTAACTTAGTGGTAAAGTGTCTCTGGGTTCAATCAGAGAACAAGTTCTGCCTCCATCTGCCTGACCTAGCCCACTGCTAAGCGACAGGAAAGGGTTCCACAATGGCAGGGACCAGGCTGCTATGGCGGGTGAGCACTGGGACTTTAATAAATGGCACAACACTCGTAACAACGGTAGGGATGGGCAGAAATGCAGGCCAGCACATCCCACAGCCCAGGGACTGTTGTTCAGAAAGTAGACTTGTGTTTCACCAGAATATTCAGTAGTAAGGCCTTCTGGGGTTGTTCTGTGGGAAGCCAAAAAGATAAAAGGGGGAGGGGTTAATGCAAAGGACACAGAGCAGTTCCTCTATCCAGGGGCAGCTGAATTCAAATCCTCCAGCGGGAAGGGCCAGCTCTAAGTAGAGGAGGGGGTTCGAATGCAGGTTGAGAGCTAGAGGTTTCTGGCCTAGCTTGCAAAGGAATTGGAGGGACCTTTCTGTTGATCCGGCCACCCCCCTGGAGTCTACCGTGAGAAATCAGGACGGCTCAGGAAGAAGCAAGTGATAGGGGAAACAAGGGTGCACACACCAGAGGATTGGGCCGGAAGCGGTAGGCCAACATCATCCTCTTGCGAAAGGCCTCATATTCATCGTCCTCCTTGGAGAGCTCAGCTGGCCGGTCAATGCCAAAACCGGCGCCATCTACCGTGGTAGTGCCCCTGCAGAGAGGTAATGGGCTAGTGTGAGCAGGTACTTGGGCTGGTGCCAGTGGAAAGAGGGACAGAGAGGCCTGGCTTGCCTGGGCTCAACAACTGCACTTTCAGGCACTCATAGTGGGCTGCTAGGCTAAGGACATCTGTGCAGGGACAAGCCTACACTAGCCAAAAAGGGAGGCATAAAGGTGGTCCAGCCCCCAGAGTCCTGCAAGGAAAGGAGTACCCACAGTGTAGGTTATCACAGCTCTAGGGATGACAGGGAAGCTTCTCAAGGACAGTACTGAGAGGCCAAAAGTGCAGGGGACGCCTAAAGCAAGGGGTCACATCAGAAGGTTTCCCACTAATTTCTGGGACTGGTTTCTAGCTTGCAGAGAATATAAACAAGACCAGCAGTCCCAGGAGGGTTTGACCCATCTGTACCTTCACAAAGGGACCTGGGGGAGGAAGAAGTCCCCAGAGTTGGGAGAGGGACAGACCTCCAAACCTCCCTGCATCACTAGCTTGTGCGTGGCAAGCTATGTGCAGTGGGGTGGGAGCAGGCAGTGGGGCTCCGGAGGGTGCATCCCACTACTCACTTGTTCACTGGGTTCTTGATGCCCTGGCCCTCTGTGCCCAGTCCCTCGCCCTCCTTCCAGCCCATCTTCATCAGCATCTGGTAACCGATGTTCTCCACAGTCAGCTTGAACTCCTTGTACTCTGAGTAGTCAGGCTCTCGACCCTCCTGCAGGGTGAGGTAGTGGGAGTCACAAACGAGGGCCATAGCCACACCTGGGCCTCAGTAGCACAGATATGCCCCCTGCCTTTGGGCTCACTGATGCTGGAACCACCCACTCATCTGCCTCCTCCCACTGGGTCAGACTTGAAGAGTCTTCAAGAAAAGATCAAACTCTTCTTTTCTGGGTCCCCAGGGACTCAGGGTGCTGAGCTCCTTGGCAGTGAAGTCAAAAGGGGCAAGGTGACAAGTTGTATAGACTTCATCTATCACAAGAGAGATTAATGCTTCACTGGCAAAGAAAACCTTATGTTCTGAGGGCAATTTATTTTTGTTATTTTTTTGAGACATGGTCTCACTATGTTGCCCAGGCTAGCCTTGAACTCCTGGGCCCAAGCAGTCCTCCTGCCTCAGCCTCCCAAGCAGCTGGGACTACAGGCATGACAACCATTCTTGGCTTGAAAATAATTCATAATAGCATGCTAAGAAATGTGGCCAAGCTGGGTGCCAGCCACTCAGAGGAGGCAAGGCAAGAGTACTGCATGTTTAAGGCCAGCCTTGAAGACTTAACAAAACCCTGTCTCAATTTTTTTTAAATATTTATTTTTTAGTTATAGGTGGACAAAATATCTTTGTTTTTTCTTTAATGTGGTGCTGAGGATTGAACCCAGTGCCTCTCACATGATAGGTGAGCACTCTACCGCTGAACCACACAACCTCTGCCCTATCTCAAAATTTAAAAAAAAAAAATTTTAAAGGGCTGGGAATGTGGTTTAGTGGTATAGCACCCCTGGGTTCAATCCCCAGCACCTCCAAAAAAAAAAAAAAAGTGGTCAA